TGCATCCTCATGGCAACGGGGAACACACAGCTTGCTCTTGCCTACAGCTCTGAGATTTAAGATTCTCGGAGCTGCTGGGTGGGCAGTTTTTGAAGACAGCCTTTAGTTTTTGTGTTCTTTTTCCTTCTTGGCCCAGAACAACTAGTTAAATGCAGGAAATTAAGATCAAATCATCCGAGTACTCATGCACTAAATCCCATTAGATAGACTATCTCTAAGCCCTGATTACTTTGTTCTTAAGCTGTCTTCATGCATAAATACACAGCACTGCCAGAATTGAATGGTGTTTATTACAAGCTCATTTGAGAGTGGTGCTGATATGAAGCAGTCACATTGTCTGCTACAGAGGAGATGCTGAATTCTATATGGGAGGTGTTCTGGTTTCCATGTTTCTGACTTTTGGGAGCAGGTAGAGTAGGAGGTCATTGTTAGGTAAAAGCTCAATAAAGAGATGCTTCTTCCTGCTGACAAAAGCCAACAAAAACGCTTTTCTCATTACAAGTTGAATTTAAGGCACAAATCAAAAAGTAGGCTGAGCTACTCAAAGATAAAAGATTCCTAGGATAACATGCATTTAGTAGCAGGAATTTTGCAAAGTATATTGGAGAGGAGAAACCTCCATAGCAATATAATGAATAAAGGCAGTACTTGAAGTGCTTCTTATAGAATATGAGATTTATATCTCTGTGAGTATTTTGCCCTAGGCACTGTCAAAACAGATGCAATCAGTTTCTGATCTGTAGCAGTTTACAATCTAAGAATAAGACAGAAGAATATACAGAGAATTGTCTTAGACTGTTCAGGCTGACATGACAAAATACCATTGACTGGGTGGCTTAAACAACAGACATTTATTTTTTCACATCTCTGGAGGCTAGAAGTCTGAGATCAGGGTGCCAGCAGAGTTGGGTTCTGGCAAGGTCTCTCCTCTTGGCTTGTAGACAGCTGCCTTCTTGTGTTTTCACAAGACAGTGCTGTGTCTTCACACAATGGACATTCCTCTTCTTGTTGATCAAACCCAATTTCAGCCCAGTATTGGCAGCCATATGTTTCAGAGGAAATGAGGCCTCCCTCCGGCACAAGGGGGTCTTCTTCAATAATCTATGTCAACTCAGTATTTCATGTTATATGTAAAATTTTCAGTGCCGCAAAAGAAGTAGCACTCAAATATAAATTTCCTCTGTAGAAGGCAATTTACTCTTATAGAAGGGTGTGGGCTCACAGATGGAACAGTGGCAAGTACGCACCTTGACGAGGTGTGCTTATTCCTGATGGAGGTCACTCCTACTGCTGTTGGCTAGGGTTAGATCGCACAGTCTAGTCAAATTCTGATTGGGACCAGAGGTACGAGCCAGAGTGGCGGGGTGGGTAGTTTGGTGGGAAGGATGGTTATACGGGCAGGTCAGAGCATGTAACTGGGGTCAAAAGCAGGTGATCAGAGCAGGTGACCGGAGCAGGTGACCAGAGCAGGTGACCGGAGCAGGTGACCACAGCAGGTGACTGGAGCAGGTGACTGGAGAAGGTGACCAGAGCAGGTGACCGCAGCAGGTGACCGGGATGAGTTAGGTCAGGGCAGGGGTCCGAGGGAACAGATGTGAACCACTGATTAGAACTGGTGGAAAAGGTTCCTTACTGAAACTACAAGGAAGTTAAACTTTAAAACAGAATATTAAAGACTAAGAGAGCTGAGCATACTGATGCACTGATTCTTTGAAGAGAAACTTGGAGTTCACTACATCTAACAATCATATGTGACTATTTCATAGCTCCTATTCTGAGTACTGCCTCGTCCCAACACCACTCTCAAATGAACTTGTAATAAACATCATTTGATTCTGGCAATGCTATAGATTTAGGAATATGAAGAAGCCATTCAGTGACTGCTTTTGGCATAGGTTGGAATTGAGTTGAATTGTCTCTCCTACAAAAACATGCTGAAATCCTAACCTTTAGCACCAGTGAATGTGATATTTGGAAACAGGATATTTGCAAGTGTAATTAAGTTGAGATGAGGTCATTAGAGTGGGCCCTAATCCAACATGACTGGTGTCCTCATAAGAAGAGGAAAATGCCATGTGAAGATGCAGACACAGGGACAATGCTACGTGATCATGGAGGCAGAGACTGGAGTGCTGCACCCACAAGCCAAGGAATGCCAAGGGTCGCCAGCAGCCGTCAGAAGTCGGGAGAAAGCTATGGAACAGAGCCTCCCCTAGAGTCTTCAGAGAGAGCATGTCTTTGCCAACACCTGGATTTGGCCTTCTGGCCTCCAGAACTGTGAGAGCATACATATCTCTTGTTGAGGCCATGCTATTTTTTCATGGCCACCCCAGAAAAAGAATAAAAAAAGAGCTGGTTAATGACACAAGAAGAGAAGCAGCTGGGAACTTTTGGAAACATTTCCTTCCACTCCCTTTTAGAAAGGGCATCACGATGGGGCATTTCTTCCACTGTTTTTGTCCATTATGATTTTGGTGCATGGAGTGGCTGCAGCCATCTCAAAACTGCAAGGGGACAAGGCTGAGGACAAACGCCAACATGCAGGGCCCTGGTAGAACTGAATGTACAGGATCATGATGATGCCATTGAGCCGTCAAATTATCCTGGAGTCACCGGATTTGCTATTGTGTGAGATAATACGTTGGCTCTTTTCTTGTACCACTTTCAGTTAGGTTTTCTGTTACCTGCCTACAAAACATCTTTAATACATCAAGGGTTAGTGGTGTCTACAGGAAATCACTGAGGTCAGGAAATCTTTTGTCTTCTACCAGCTGCTGACCATGGCCATCGATCCCAATAAGTCCTATGCGGAGAAGATGCTTTCTGAAAATGCACACCCTTTATTACTAGCCAGTCCCAAATTCCTTTAAAGGCTTCTTACCTGGTGAAATAGCTGGGTCCCACACAAGCCCTGTGGTCTTACTGGGCTTTGTACATGTTATCCATCCCAGAAACACTTTCCCCTCGCTACAGTCTCCTCCACCTAGCTACTCTCTGCCCACCCTCTAGGTTTCAGCTTCAATACCATTGCCTTGAGAAGTCTCTACTGATTCCCAAGCCCGCCCCTCTAATGGCTTTCTGGGCACCTTGGACTTGCCCTGTCTTAGCATTTACTACACTGTATTGTAATTGCCTGTTTACTGTTGCTGTCTCCACTAGACTCTTGAGGGCAGATATTCTGAACGTCCTCTCTACTGTCACATGCTCAGTCTAATACAAAGCCTGACTCACAGTAGGCACTTGATATATGTCTGTTAAGGGAATAAAATAAAAAGACATGGCAGTGTCAACAGTCTGTAATTTAGAATTGATCTATATTTAGGCTAGGGCCACGAAAAAATGGGAGCTGGGCTGGGAGCAGTGGCACTTGCTTGTAGTCCCAGTGCTTGGGAGGCTGAGGTGGAAGGATCCCTTGAACCCAAGAGTTCTGTGCCACCCAGACTGACGAATCTGCACTGTTTGGCATCAATATGGTACCCTCCCAAGGAGCAGGGAAACACCAGGTTGCCTAAGGAAGGGTGAACTGGCCCAGGTCAGAGACGGAGCAGATCAAAACTCTCATGCTGATCACTATTGGGATTGTGCCTGTGAATAGTTGCAGCCATCCAGCCTGGGCAACGTAGTGAGATGCTGTCTCTAAGAAACAAAAAGAAAATAAAAAGAAAAGGGAGCTAGGCAAGGCTTTGGCAAAACACAAAGCAAGCCAGATAATCTTTGACCCTGGCCTCGGGCTCCTAAACTGGGATTCTTGTACATTTATTTTTATTTTCCTCCCATTTACTTCTCTTTTCAATTCTCCTGAACATTCTTTAGGTCTGGGCCTTAATGGGTACTTACCAGTTAAAAAAAAGAAATGGGGCCAGGCGCGGTGGCTCTTGCCTGTAATCCCAGCACTTTGGGAGGCCGAGGCGGGTGGATCACAAGGTCAAGAGATCGAGACCATCCTGGTCAACACGGTGAAACCCCGTCTCTACTAAAAATACAAAATGTCAGCTGGGTATGGTGGCGCGTGCCTGTAATCTCAGCTACTCAGGAGGCTGAGGCAGGAGAATTGCCTGAACCCAGGAGGCGGAGGTTGCGGTGAGTGGTCAAGTGGTCTATTACTTCTAGGGAAAAAACACAATGTTTTAAGTACCTGTAAAGCCAACATGTTTCCAGAAAGCCCCTAAAAAATTAGTACCAAGAATTTACAATCGAGCAGGAAGCAGGAAGCAAGGGGCAAGTGAGACTCTTAGTACCTTTATAATAGAGTAGGCGGCTTTTGCCTTCTTTGGTTTCAGTAAGAACTTTTGGGCGATTATTCCATCTTTGATACTTGAAAACATTTTCCAGGAGTGTTCTTCATGTGGTTTACTCAGTCTAAGGTCATTCATTCCTTAAGGCTGGCCAAGCATTTGTTTTGCAGATTTTCTTCTTAGAAAAATTTAGGCAGTGTTAAGTATAATAATTCCAACTAATTTTTTTTCTATATGGGGAAGGTTAGTCATTCCACAAACATTTGAGCACTTCCACATATACACCAAATACCATGCTAAGCAGCTGCTGCTCTTACCCAGTGCCACAGTCCGCCACGCAGGGAGGCAGGGACAGACTCAAGCCCTATCCTACAAGATTTTATAGTTTAGGAGGGGAGACAGACTACAAATACATAAATATAAAAATATAAACACTTTGCTTTAAGGGATAGGAATGAAACCAACAGATTGTTGAGACAGAGGATAAAGTACCGGTAGGGAACCTAGTCAGCGTGATCAGGAACAACTTCCCTGCAAGGTGACATTCGAGTCAAGACTTAAAGGATGAGAAAGGCGCCAAGCATCAGAAATGGGGTTACGTTCATGTAAGTCAGTTAAAAATAAATCCCAGTATCTCCAGCAGCAAGGATGGACGTGTGGGGCCAAGAAGCCTAGCTGCCAGCACTAAAGATGGCGCGCCGGGGAGGGTGTGGGCGGGGCCTTTGCGCGTCCTGATTGGCCGACCGGGGCGTGACGTCACGGGCTGGCCGCCGAACATCCGGGCTCCTGGCGGCGGCGCTGCGGAGGCTCGCGGGAGACGCGGCGCGCGGGGCGAGCGGGCGGCCGAGCGGACAGCGGCTGGGCGCTCTCGGGCGGCCGGCGGGGCCGAGCGCCGCGCGTCCCGAGCATGGCGGGCTCCCTGCCTCCCTGCGTGGTGGACTGTGGCACCGGGTAAGAGCCGCTCGGCGCCCACCCCCGCTCCTCCGCGGCCCCGCTCCCGGCTCCCGGCGTCCACCTCACCTGGAGGTCGACCTGCGTTGTCGCCCCGGGCTTGAGTCCCGCGACCACCCGGGCAGGTGGGGCGCCGGCCGCGGCTTCCGTCCTAGCCTTGCCTTGACGTCGTAAAACCCCTTGTTCTCCGCCGGGAAGGGCCACGAGAGGAGAAGCACGGAGGGGAGGGACGCGGTGCCCACTCTGAGGGAGCCCGGCGCTCCTCGCCTCCCCCCCGCGTGCCCGGGCCCCTGGATCCGCAGCCCGGCTCCGGCCGCCGCCGTGGTGGCCACCCTGAGGGGCACGGGGAGCGCGGGACCCCCTGGGAATAGTCGCCAGCGCGAGGCGCACGCTGCAGATCCTTTCACGTCACTCACCTGCTGCGAACGGTGTCCCTGCCCTCCGGCGTGCTCAGCGCTGGCCCTGGTTCTGTGCCCGCGTGTGCGTGTCATTCCCCCCTGGCTGCTGGTTCTTTACCACCTGCTTGTGGAGAGAATCGCATCGATCTCCCAACTTGACACCTTTCTTACTGCCCTCTCTGCTCTTTTCCAGTATGAAATGGCACCCTCCGAACAAGCTGTCGCTTTGGTTTGCATAGATTTGCCTTTTCGCTTAAAAATGATGTGTTTAAAAAGACTCCATTTTGAAAAAAACACCCTAAATTTGGGAAAGCATGTTTGTGGAATTGGGGTAGAGGTTTTTGTTTTTAACTTTTTGAACGTGACCTCTTTCGATGCCGTGAAGATGTTAAAGAGAGACCTTAGGAAATGGCCTGAAATATCAGTGGCACAAGTTAGCTGGTTGTAGTAAGGTGATGGCTGAATCCATTTAGCTGGCAGTTTGGGAATACAAGCTTGCCTGCTTGCATTTTGGATGTAGTGCTTAGTGAAATAGCCTGGAAGTAAATTTGGTCTCTTACAGATTTTTTTTTTTTTTTTTTTCCGAGAAGGGATTTTAATCGTTTTTGCCACAAAATGTTCCATGGCTTGTTCACCTTACCCTTGATTCTTTTCTACAGAAAAATCCACTTGGTTTGGTTTCCTTGACAACCTTGTGGGGGTGCTTTCTTTAATTTGCTACAGTCCATCTCCTACTGATAGTTCTTTCCTTTTGCTGCTGAAGCGACCAGAATTGGATGCAGGCTGGGAAAAATCTGCCTGTTTGCTTGTGTGAATTCTTTTTAAAATCGCATCGTGTCAAGCTCTATAGCTCTTTATTTTAGAACGTGCTTTTCTAACCTAAAACACAAGCCACAATCAGCGTTGTTAATACAACTTCCCTCTCCCAGTTATTGGCTCCCTTAACTCATGCCCTCCCCCCATGGGTTCACCCCATGTCTCCTCAGATCTGGTTTTGTCAAGGGTGAGACCAGCATGTGAAAATATTTTTCATTTCCACATTTGCATATGAGATTTTTGCTTTGTATTATTGGTCTTGCAGAGCGTGGAAATATAAAGGATTTCTTGGTAGAAGAAATAAAATAATGCTCACATAGTTGTCATTCTTTTAATATTAGTTAAATCATGGACGTTACTCATCATTCTTGCTATAAATACCCAAAATGTGGTGCTCAGTTTTGACCTTTTGAGGTAAGTGATTGATGTTACTTGGCTAACTTGGAGAGTCAGCGTCTATAGATCATTTATTTTGTGGCCCAAAGTTGTGCTTCAGACGTTGGTGTTAAGACTTAGAAACAGTGGCAGGGAATCCTCATGAATTCCCCATATCCAGTGTATGCCCAGAAGGAGCCTGAAAGAGCCCGAGGTTACCAGCTTGAGCACATCAATAGTTCTTATGTTTCCCAGAGAGCTAAAATGATTTTTGGATTGAGTTTTGCCTCCAAATAGGACAAAAAGTGGTAAAATTCAGATAAAAATAAGCCAAAGGAAAAGAACGAACCTGTAAAGTCACCCTACATTTGACCTTAGTCTTTCTGACAGCATCACAGTTATGTAATTCCTGTCATCAGAAATCAAGAGAAATACCTGTTTCTTGGGTGAAAAAAGCCTTTTTTGCAGTACCGAATTGTAAAAGAAACATTAATCATCTTGGGCACTAATGATTTATTGGACAGCATGATGAACAGTATTTTTTACAAATAAATTTCACCCCAGTATCTTTGAATTCTCCTCTGGTAAACCCTGGAACAAACTGAGCACTGGTGTGCTGGGGGCCAGGATAATATGGACAGAAGGATCTGCTGGATCCAAAAATAAAGCTTCGTCTATTTAAAGGGATGACTAGGCTGTGAGTTTTGAGAGAGTATTTCACAACTCCAGTCTCACTTCTCTGAGCCAGACTTTTTAAATGAAGTCTTTTGCATTTTTCAACTTATTTTGAAATAATTTCAAATCTACTGAAAGCTGGAAGAGAACAAAAAACTACTATGTACTCTTCTTCCAGTTTTACCAACTGTTAACATTTGCTTTGTCACTCTCTGTATGTCCATACGTGTTATTACTTGCCTGAACTGTTTGACAGTAAGTTGCAGACATCATATCCTTTTATACCGAAATACTTCAAAGTGTACTTTCTGAGGACGCATTTTCTCTTCTAGAATCACATAACAATCATCAAAATCAGTATATAGGATACTACTGTATATATGTTAACATATATGTTATATATAAAAATATATGTGTATATAACATATGTATATATAACATGTATATATAACATATATGTTAACATATATACAGTAATATCCTATATACATTACAGAGTCATGTGAATAGTCCCATTTATGTCTTTTATGGAATGTCACCCATAAAAGACCTCTCCCATTGAGCATCACATGTATCTTGTGTTTATTGTGTCTTTTAAATCTCATCTAATCTGGAATAATTCCTTAACCTTTTCTTTTGTCTTTCAAGATGTTGACATTTTTGACAGCCAGTTGTTACCTGGTGTTTCCCTGTGATAGATACAGGATATGCGTATTTGTCAGGACTACCAAAGAAGTCCTCTTGATCCTTCTTAGTGCATCCCATCAAAAGGCAAAGGATAGGGACTCGCCTCACTCACTTGGATCATTTCGATGTCCACGAAGTTTCTTCACTGTTCAGTTACTGTTTTACTTTGTAATTAATAAGGTTTCTTCACTGTTCAGTTACTGTTTTCCTTTGTAATTAATTCTCCCATTTGTGGGGAAATAGTTTATATACATACTCTATTCTTTTTTTTTGACTCTGTTGCCAAGGCTGGAGTGCAGTGGCATGATTTCGGCTCACTGCAACCTCCACCTCCTGAGTTCAAGCGATTCTCCTGCCTCAGCCTCCCAAGTAGCTGGACTACAGGCGCATACCACCATGCCTGGCTATTTTTTTGTATTTTTAGTAGGTACGGGGTTTCACCATCTTAGGCAGGATGGTCTCAATCTCCTGACCTCATGAACCACCCACCTTGGTCTCCCAAAGTGCTGTAATTACAGGTGTGAGCCACTGTGCCTGGCCCGTTGGTGATTCTTGCCTGAATTGCTTATTATGCCGATGGTTGCAAAATGGGTGATTTTTAAACTCTAGTATTCTGTCTCCATTTATTAGTTAACATTCTATCTTAAGGGAGAGCTTTTCCTAGCCCTCATTTGTTTGTTTATTGTCTGTGTGAGTTGGCGTTCTGTTCAGAGTTATCCATTATGCCATCCGTATTGTTGTCAGTGGGTTATTATCTGTTATCGCCACGATTTGTTTTGATGCTTTAATTGTCCCAGATTTGGCCATGTGAAGCTTATTCAGGCTGGCTTCCATGTTCTTTATTTTTTGTTTATTTTTTGAGATGAGTCTTATTCTGTTGCACAGGCTGTAGTGCAGTGGTGTGATCTTGGCTCACTGCAACCTCTGCCTTCCAGGTTCAAGTGAATTTTCCTGCCTCAGCTTCCTGAGTAGCTTACAGGGGCATACCGCCATACCTGGCTGTTTTTTTTTTTTTTTTTTTTAACAAATCCTCCCTCAGGTTTATTTGTACAAATAGCACAGGGGGACCCCAGCCCCATGCAGATGGCAGCCCCTGGGGGGTCGCACCAGTCCTTCTGTGCTCACATTGGCAGAGATATCTACTCTGAAGCCTTTGTAGGGGCCTGGGCACCTTTGGGAGACTGAGCTGGAACTGAAGCTGGAGGTGCAGCCTGGGCCTTGTTTTGATCCTTGGCCTTGGCCTTGGCCTTTGGCCGGCAGAGCCTGAGCCCCTTGGCAATGCGAGCACCAGCACGCTTCCCAAGCTTGGGGTGGGCAATGTAGGCAAGTCGATCGAGCTTTTGGCTGACACCCCCCTTTGGGATCTTGGGCTTAACCTCCTTTGGCTTTCCGAGGGCCGTGACGGCCTCGGCACGTGCACGCATGGCCTTGGCCTTGCTGGCCTGTGTCTTCTTTAGGCCCTTCCTGCTGTGCTTCTTGGCAAAGCGCATGTTCCTCGGGAACTTGGGGTCCACCCCCTCAAGAGATTCGTATCTTTGTGATCGGGGTTTCTTGATACCATTTCTGTGCCGTTTTTGGGACTGGTTGTGTGTGGTGTGGTTCTTGGACTTGGCCATGTCTGCACCTAAGCTGAGCTTCCCGAAGTGCCTAAGACCGGAAGAGCGGCTGTTTTTTTTGTATTTTTAGTAGAGATGGGGTTTCGCCATGTTGGCTAGGCTGGTCTTGACCTCCTGACCTCAGGTGATCCACCCACCTTGGCCTCCTAAAGTGCTGAGATTATAGACATGAGCCACTGCACCTGGCCTTCCATGTTCTTTAGACATGTCTTCATTTTTTGAGCATTCCGCTGTTATCAAGAGAATGCAAGGATATCTGTTTGTATTTTTTGCCTGAGTATCTGTGGGTTAGATTTTTAGAAATGGGATTTCTGGGTTAGAGGACAAATGCATATGTAATTTTGCTAGGCAATGTCAAATTCCACTTGTTAGTGTGCATTCTCACCAGTAATGTGTGAGGATACTTCTGTCTTACAGACTCACCAATAGAACC